GGATGGAAAGGTTCGAGTGGCGGTCGTTAGAATTAAGTTTAGCGTTTTCAAGCGTTCTATATGTCGATTAGCTCCTTTGCCTGTGGATAAATCTTGAAGCCTTGCAGCCGTTTAACGCGGCCGATGTTAAGTCATTTCATTTGTATAACACTGTGCGACAAAATTTAACAAAATCTTTGTTTAAGTTACTTTTTTGATTGTTTTCGGTTAAGGTGCATAAATTATGCACAAAAATATCTATGCCACCTTTTAAGTGATACGATTTCTTTTTGCATGGTAAATTTTATGAAATTATTTTTATGAAAATAATTAACACAAAATATTATTTTTTTTTTACTTTCAATAAACTATTATTTTTTTAAAAGTGAATTTTTTTTCCTGATTTTTTTTTTTTTGGCTTTTTCAGAGGTATGCTCGCGTAACAAGTTCCATACGTAGTCGCCCAGAGTAAAGAGCTTTGCTTAATACATTTTAATTAATAGATATTGAACTTGCATGAACGCTTATAACAGTGAAAAAATATTTTCGCAATATGTGATTATAAGGCTGTGAAATATGCAAAAACGCGCGTTTTTGGGACATTTGAGTGTGCGTAAAAAGCTGATTGGCTATTGATATTAACAAATCCACAAACTTATATTCTTATTTTGATTAGTAGAAGTGAAAAATAAGAAAAAATCAACTTAAACATTTTTTTGTCGCACAGTGTAATTGAAGTCCTAATTATATATATATATTATATATACAGTGGTGGCCATAAGTATTTTGTCAAAATAAAAGTGAAATATACTCGAAACCTGAACTTGCTTCTTTTAACTTTTGGTATCAATGGAAAGGTAATTCAAATGCCTTTTGAATGATACCATACTTTTTCTCAACTCATTCGATATTTATTGAACAGGGCAATTTTAAAAAAAAGTCAAAAAAAAACTTTTTCCCTCGGCTTCAAAACTAAAATTTTGGATGCAAAAAGTTTCTTTAATCAAAAATAATAGGAACTGCAAAAAGAATTTTTCAAAAATAATTTTTCTTCTATTTTTTATGATTTTTTGAAGGTGACAATGTCGGAAAAAGTTTGTATGGAAAAGAGAAAAATATGGCTGAAATGCGTATTTCTAGTCATTTTCAAAAAATCATAAAAAATAGAAGAAAAATTATTTTTGAAAAATTCTTTTTGCAGTTCCTATTATTTTTGATTAGAGAAACTTTTTGCATCCAAAAATTTTAGTTTTGAAGCCGAGGGAAAAAGTTTTTTTTTGACTTTTTTTAAAAATTGCCCTGTTCAATAAATATCGAATGAGTTGAGAAAAGTATGGTATCATTCAAAAGGCATTTGAATTACCTTTCCATTGATACCAAAAGTTAAAAGAAGCAAGTTCAGGTTTCGAGTATATTTCACTTTTATTTTGACAAAATACTTATGGCCACCATTGTATATGTAATTGTAGTTAAAACAAATTTTCTTATATTAAGCTCGAGTTGAATAACTTGAATTGAATTACTACTCCTTAACTACTTAAGCTAACATTACGCTCTATTAAAGTCGCTCTCACTGGAATCTCTGTTACACATCGAAATTCGGTCATGCTGGAATTATCTTTGTTATCCTTGAAATTTGCATGCTTACACATACACGCGCAATTATGCCAGCGCATTAGCTTAAGAAAAAATCATTGGAAAATATAAAGAGCATTTGAGAAGAAGAACTGAAATAGAGCACACGTATTATTGTCTGTATTAGCCGTCAATAATTTATTGACCTTTTTGCATTTGAAGTTGCTTGTGGCATAGGGCCACGTTAGCGGAAGGTTTCCATTTGGACCTATGTATGTATATAAACTTTTCATCAATAAATTATTGTCCATCGACAAAACATCAAACGCAAATGATTGGCTTTAATTTGAAATTCATTGTAGAAAAAAACAATGGCGTAATAAGTTCTTTTCTTTTATATTAGGTTGTTTGGTAATGACATACCGGTTTTTACATTCAAATTTCGCGCTTCGCTTGTGAAGTCAAATATATTCGTATTTGGTAATGCTGTATATCGTTTGAGTTATTGGTATTGGTATCACCTTTAAAATGACATATTTGTTTACATGAGCTTCCACGTTAAAAAATTACAATCGATTGAAATGGAGTTCACAAACGCAGAAATTCGGGCAATTTTGAAATTTTATTTCGCACAGGGGAAAGCTGCTGCGGAATCTCGCAGATAGATTATTACTGTCTTAGGAGATAACAAACTTTCGATTCAAACCGCCGATCAGTGGTTTAGGCGATTCCGAAGTGGCAATTTTGATACCGAAACACCCAAGCCTTCCGGACGACCAGTGACCGTTGATACGGATAAAATCATGGAAATAGTGGATCGAGATCGTCATGTGACTATTAGAACCATCGCAGAGAAGCTGCAACTAAGTACGGAAACCGTCCATAGGCATTTAAAGTCGAAAAATTTAAAAGAGTTATCCTAAAAAAACCTTTTCGACCGTGTATCAATCTGCGAATCTTTGTTGCACCGTAATAAACTCGACTCATTTCTGGATCGGTTAGTCACTGGTGATGAAAAATGGATCACATATGACAACATAAAGCGTAAAAGATCCTGGTCGAAGCACGGTGAGTCGTCTCAAACGGTGGCAAAGCCAGGACTGACGGCTCAGAAGGTGTTGCTGAGTGTATGGTGGGATATCAGAGGAATTATCCATTATGAAGTGTTGCCCTATGGCCAAACCATCAATTCTGACCTCTACTGTGAACAACTGGAGTGATTGAAGATTGCACTTGAACAGAAGCGGCCAGCCATGGTGAATCGTAAGGGCGTTGTGTTTCATCATGACAACGCCAGGCCCCATACATCTTTGGTGACGCGTCACAAGCTACGGGAGCTTGGTTGGGAAGTGTTAATGCATCCACCTTATAGTCCGGACATTGCCACAAGCGATTACCATCTGTTTTTGGCCATGCAAAATTTTTTCGATGACAAAAATTGAGTTCAAGGGAGGGTTGTGAAAATCGAATCGCCGAGTTTTTTGCCAGTAGGGAGATGGACTTCTTTGGGAAAGGCATATATAAGTTACCATCAAAATGGCAGAAAATCGTCGAAGACAACGGTATAGCACTTAAATCGGACTATGCTAACTATGTTAAAATCGTCGTCAAAGATAAAAAAAAAAAACACCAGTATGTCATTACCAAACAACCAAATATTTTCGATCTCTCTTATGGGAGCTCTCTGATATGGTAGTCCGTTCTGGTGTAGTTACTGTATGCTATAACTACACAACTTTTGGTAACGTTTCATTAGTATTAAGATTAAAAACTGAGAGTTTTATTTGTCTAGATCGGTTCAGATGGTAATGCTGATTAAAAATGCTGATGTAAGGGTATTAAAATATCAAAGAGAATGAGGCCGGATTTTTGTACAGACAGAACCCGAACATTGCCAACGTTTTATGATTAAAATGCCGCACACAAAAAATGAATGGATATACAAAAGACCCAATTGCAAAAACCAAATACAACCTTATTTCCTTCACCAAATACTTTTTTAAAACATAGAACTGGACACTAGGTGAACTCTGACAAAGATGTGTGTGGCCTGGCGTTGTCCTAATGGAAGCCAATTCGGCCTCTGTTAATCAGAGATGGCCCCTTCTGCATGAGTGCTGCATTCAAGCGATCCAGTTGTTGGCAGTAAAGGTCCGAATTGAGCGTTTGGACATAGGGGAGCAGCTTATAGTGGATGATTCCCTGCCAATCCTACCAAGCACACAAAAGATCTTTCCTGGCCGTTAATCCAGGCTTGGCCACCGTCTGGGCAGCTTCACCGCTTTTCGACCACGACCGTTTGCACTTCACGTTGTCGTATGTGAACCACTTTTAATCGCCAGTCACCATCCGCTTCAAAAACGGCTCGATTTAGTTGCGATTCAGATGCGATTCGCATGCATCCATACGGTCAAAAATGTTTTTTTGCGTCAAGTCGTGTGGCATCCATACATCGAGCTTCTTTTTGAATCCAAGCTTCTTCAAATGGCTTATAACGGTTTAATGACCAGCTCAAATCCGGTCTCTTTCGATCGACAGGCCATCCGGAGCGTGGTGTATCTTCGACCACCTCTGCACCAGAACGAAAACGTTAAAACCATCGTTGTGCGGTGGCACAAATTTTATTTGCAGCATGAGATGCTTTTTTGCCTTTATCGTAGTAGTACTGTAAAATGTGCTGTATTTTGTCTTTATTATACTCCATGTTAGCGACGCTATAACTTACGAACGGCTAAAAACAAACTACAATAAATAAAACACGTGTTAGCGCGTGAAAAGAGCTTTCCAAAAACCTCCAGCGTGAACCGAAGCGACGAATAAAACTAGAGCTACGCGACAACCTTATTTAACTCCTGTGATCCCGTAAAAAAGAAAGAATAAATCTAATGTGCATGTTATATGGTATAATGTTTTGGTGTTTGATGTTTTCTTTTACACATTCATCTGGGTAAAATGGGGTACATATTTTCCCTAACCTTCTTTCCTACCTCGAAAGCTCTAAATTTTCTAGTTGTTTTGCAACTGTCTAAATTAGCTTGTTAAGCGATTAAAATTTTGTATGTTATTGCCAAATTTTTTTCGTCGTTGCCTAGATGAATCGATCAATTGTAGTAATGTGTCCAAATGAAGTGTCCTAATGTATTATTTTCGTTTCTCGCATGATGAGTTTGATATAGTCCATTTTCATGTTAATTTTTATTCACCTCACTATCTTCGTTAATTGGAGCTACTTTGTAGGGGCACTGTATTAACTATGTCTATCATATGGTACTTTCTTAACATAGAAGTTATGGTGTTCGATTGGAAGGCTGCTTTGCTGTCCCAATATATGGTCTTTTTGTTGTCGACAAGGTTAACTAGTAAATTTGAGTAAATTTGCGGTGCAGGTAATGAAAAATTGTTTGTCAGTTCAGTACATTACAATATGAAGTATTTCGCCCGCATACTACGATATTAGTGTGATTTTTAACACGTTTCTTTGGGGGTCACTGTAGTATAATATATTGGTTTGATACACGTTAATATCACTTAATATCACAGTTTAATATCACTTTTTTAAGCTTAGCCCTTTACATGGTGGTGATGCATATCTGCATCATACCGTTCAAATTCGATTATTTTTCAACGGGCGTTGCAAAACTGTCTGAAATCTATTTGATGCAGTTCAGCAACTTTCGTTTTTTATATAACAAGTGTTAGTCACTCAGAATTCTGTCCAATAATCAACAGATGTTTACTTTTCCCGCCAATTTGGTGAATGTGGAAATCTGAATTGGTTGTGCAGTTTCTCATCCAAATATAAATAACAAAAAAAATGTATAGTTGATTTAATTTATATTTATAAACAGGTAAATATTATATTTAGTTATATATTATCGAGTTTTTTCGCTTGTTGCATTATAATACGAATAAATCAACAATTTCGCGAGGTTGCAGATATGCATCAAAGTACCTTTACACATAAAAAAAATAAGGTAAAAACAACAAATTTAAAAAAATAAAAAGAAGTGTATTTTTTATTTTCACTTATGTATCTACCAAACAAAAAAAAATCAAGAAAATCGGAGTTATTTCCATGTAAAGGGTTAGTCATTCTTGGAAAATAATAACCTACTGTGCAGAGCTCCAACATGGATTGAGGTTAATGTTCCAGGGAGTTTATATTTTGTCCAGACAGGACAATTTCTTTTCTAGCCTTTCTGTATTCTGCGTTAGAGTTCCGCTTTAACGTGTGAAAGCAAGAGGTTGGTGCTCTGTGAATATTTGTATCAATCTATTGGTATCATAAATACCATCCCAATGGTTAACAATAACTTTGGTTTGTTACTATAAGTAACATTCCAATGGCTAACACTTATCTTTCGTTTGTTACTCTCAAAATCCTTCAAATGTAAAATATTGGTTCATTTTGAAAAAAAAAAAAACAAGAAAGGAAGCTAGCTTCGGCAAGCCAAAGCTTATATACCCTTGCAGTCACTAAATATGTCGAACAAAATACATAAAAGCTAAACAGCATCGAAGCTATGACAATTTTTCTATTAATTTTCCAAATTGTTCATATGACAGCAATATGATATAGTCGTCCGATTTTGAAGATATTTAAATTGTAACTCAAGACTCATTAGAAAACTCTATATTCCAAAAATCATGATTGTCTGATGAAAAACAACGATGTTACCATTTTATTTCCGTTATTTCTATATAGATTTTTCGATCTTTCCTATGGCAGTTATATGATATAGTACTTAGAATTTTATGAAAATTTTTCTCGATTTAGGAGTATTTAAAAAACTTGATGTTCCAAAAATCATGCTCGTGGCATTAAAAACAACGACATAATAATTTTTTTCAATATTTATATATATATTTTTTGATCTCTCCTATGGCAGCTATATGATAGAGTTATCCGATTTTGATCAAATTTAATAAGAAATTCTATAGCAGTTAGAAAACGCCATCTGGAAGGAATCAAGTCGATCTGATCAAAAACAATGGTGTAAAAATTTTTTATTTCATTCTCTTGTATGGGAGCTATCCGATATAGTCGCACGATCCGGCTCGTTCCGACTTATATACTGCGTGCAATAACTGCACACCTTTTGCGAAAGTTTCAGCGAGATAGCTTTAAAACTGAGAGACTAGTTTACATAGAAACCGACAGGAGGACAGACGGACAGACAGCCAGACGGACAGACGGACAGACGTACAGACGGATTTGGACTCTAATCGTGATGCTGATCAAGAATATATATACTTTATGGGGTCTGAGGTGCCTCCTTCACTGCGTTGCAAACTTCTGACTGAAATTAGAATACCCTTTTGCTCTGCAAGGGTATAAAAACAAAAATTTATGGGAAATATTTTATGTCTATTGATCCATTGATCCTTTACAATTTATTTGAGCTAGTTTTGAAATACAATATTGACCAAATGGGCTCCTATGTGCTTGATAGTAAAAAGTGTTTTTCGATCATATTCCATGACTTTTTCGAGCACATCGGCCGATATATTGGCCACTTCGCTGCGAATATTCTCCTTAAGCTCTGTGATGGTCTTGGGCTAGCCCCACAAAAAGAAGTTAATAAATTCAGATGCTTTTGTAATTTTTTGTTTTGTAATGGATATAGTTTTGAATATACGGGTTCGTTACTCTCCTTACGAATCTTAGCAACGACTAAGGTGTTTTTTTCAAATTATGCTTTTACTGAGATTGAAAACAATATTTCATTGGAAATATTATGTTGATCAGGCCGGCGCTTGCAGGTCGAAACCTATAGTTTGGGTAATTTATTTAAAAAAAGGTGCGTTATCGATTTTTGTTCATGACCACGGTTGGCCCAAATTTTCACATGTATTTTGAGAAAAAAGGTATCCTAATTTTTTTGTTCAATTGCCTTGGAATCTTTTGCCGCGAACAAGCTTTAATCGCTTGGCTGCGTCGAAAGCACCAATGCACCCAAGTTTTTTTTTTAAACTTGATATTAATACTTGTTTGTTTTCGTGTGTCATGACAACGTTTTCAACGAGGCTCAGTTTTCGTTCACCTCAACGCTTTATTGCATAAGACTTTTTTGCCCATGATGCCCCTCCCCAAGCCTTTGCTCTTATAGACACAATGTTTTGTATATTTATTTAACGGCTTAATTTTTTGCTAGAAATGTTAACATTAAATTCTTTATGAGCGGTAGAGAGTCAGTAGTAGATACTATAGAAAACAGTCTATTATAGTCAGAACAAAGTACTGAATGAATGAACGATTTAAAACTAAAGGAACATTATTTCTAGTTAATCTACTTGGCACCGAATTATTTAGACTATTTAACATGTAAGGACTGTCAATTTCGTCATATATAATATTAAAAAAGGATATAGTGCCAATCATCGTTCTGTGGTTAGTCAGGGAGAGCAAGTTAATAAGAAGCAATCTGTTAAAATTTGAGGTAAGAATTGGTTTACATTCCAGTTAAAGCGGCGTAAGGCAAATAGTAAAAAGATTTTATGGACTGATTCTATTCCGGCAGAGTGCACTCCGTATTGAGGACTCCAAACAGGTGCCCAATACTTACTGATTGGCTGAATCAGCGATATGAATAAAGTCTTGGTAACATAAGGATCATTAAATTCCTTTGTATATCGTTTAATAAATTCAAGCACTCCCCTAGCTTTATTAAACACTAGAGGTCCTGTGTCCGCTTCGATGGTCAACACAATTTAACAACATAAAAGTCAATGTTGCAACATTTTTCAAATATATGGAAGTATAGAAAGATGGTGATTTAACACTTTTCCAGTTTGACTTTTCCCCTTGCGCAGCACAATCCAGCCGTTTCTCTTTTTAAACTTTAACGCACTGCAATATCGGTATATAGTCGCCATTGGTCCAATATCTTTCATTATCACAGTAGTTCGCAGTGGGGTCATATTGGAATGCCAAGCGATTGAATGATGCCAATAATCTCCATCTGCTCATTTATCGTTCTTTGCTTAAGTTTTGTGAATATACTTGTTGCTGGCTTGGATGTCTGCGGCCAATGTTTGCACGCCGTCCTCTAAGCATTTTGGACTATGGACAGAGAGGTGAATTTATCCTCAAATGCACGATCCACATAATTTTCACAGTTCAACTTAAATTGAATAAAAATTCTTTTTTTCACAATTTCACAGTGAACACAATACCCGTTTGTCCATGAAATTAACTGAGCAGAGAACACTAAGGTTTGCATAATAAGTGAAAAACTTAATTCACTTGGAAATGATAAATGAAAACCACAAAAATTGAGTTAAAATGCTATGGTAGCGTGTTTGTCAGTGTGATGAGGTAGCAACTCACTTTATATGCAAATTTTTTTCAAAATAAATTATAGCCTATTTTACTCCACGATAATGTAGCTTATTTCTCAACCCGCGATACCGAAGCAGAGAAAACGTCTACAAAGAGCAACCCGGCCCTACTGGCCGTCGAAAGCACGAGAGCCCGCTCTCTATCACCAGCCCTACTCATTCCAACTCCTACATCTTGGAGTTATCAATGCCAGACCCCACCACCACCGGCTTCTATGGGAGACGCACCAACAATAAGCAGTGCTTCAATTTCTACTACCTCAGCAAAAGTAACGGCAATAACTAAAGCAACGACGAATATTGCGAAAACGGTGTCAACGGCTCCATCGCAATCTGCAACAGCAACAAAAACCGTAAGCTTTTATAAGCAACAAGCGGTTCCGGCCATACAGACCGGTATGGATCGCTACATCCAGATAAAGCGTAAGCTTAGTCCGCAAAACACGGTTGGTAACAAACCAAAGATCAACCGTACAATCCAAGCCAAAGAAAAAACCAGGATTTCCAACAACAGCAACCGATTTTCCCTCTTGGCAGATGGTGAGAGCCAAGCTGAGCCGGATCAAGTGACCCAAAAGAAACCAAAGCCCCCACCTATCTACATTAGGGAAAAAAGCTCAAACGCCCTGGTCAACAAAATTGTTGCGCTGGTCGGGGACGAAAATTTTCATGTTGTTCCGCTTATTAAAAGGAACATCCACGAAACTAAAGTTCAGACGAAATATGAAGAACACTTCCGAGCTGTTTCCAAATACCTGGAGGTAACGAAAAAGAATTTTTACACCTACCAACTAAAAAGCAGCAAAGGGCTACAGGTAGTACTAAATGGAATCGAACCCGACGTCGCCCCCTCTGAGATAATAGAAGCCCTTAAAGAAAAGGGATTCTCTGCTAAGAATGTTAGCAATATTATCAACAAAAATAAAAAGCCGCAACCACTCTTTAAGGTCGAGCTAGAGCCAGATAGCAAAACCCTAAAGAAAAATGAAGTGCACCCGATCTACAAGCTGCAGTTCTTACTGCACCGGAGGATCACAGTGGAAGAACCACACAAACGGAACGGCCCAGTGCAATGTACAAATTGTCAGGAGTTTGGGCTCACCAGGACATACTGCACACTTCGGTCAGTTTGTGTAGTCTGCGGAGACTTCCACAATTCCGCACACTGCCCTGCTAACAAAGAAGATCGCCATACAAAAATACATAGAATGTGGGAACTGCGGAGGAAACCATACAGCAAACTACAGAGGCTGTCTGGTCTACAAGGAGCTGAAGAGTCGCATGCGACAAGCGACAGCTACGCGTCAACAAAATACACAGAATGTGTATTTTAAATCAAAAACTACGCCAGACGTATTTTTCGCCAAGG